TTTGTGAGGAATGAAGAAATGGACCATGCCTTGGAGCTTGCCCCGGTCCCACCCCCCTTCTGCCAGAGGCCCTCAGATCTGTCCCACTCCTGCCCAGAACCCCACAGGAACCCTTGACGCGAATGGTGTAGAGCTGGCCACGCCCACCCAGTAGGCCACACCCACTCCATCCACACCCACCCAGTAGGCCGTACCCACCTTGGCCACACCCACCAGGCCCCCTGAGGGCAACCGCAATGCTGATGCGGCCCTCAATGAAATTGAGTTTGACACCCCTGCCCTACTAGGTAACATCTTCAGTCCTAGAAGGCAGTGGGGGTTGCTCTCTCTTTATATACAGGTGGCTTGCCTTGTCAGTGTTTGTGGGTATGTGCTTTTCTTCATTCCTTGATTCTTGGTAGTTCTTTAAATATGTTCTGACCCGACTCCCCGAACACAACAGATGCACCAATAAATCTCCAATGTTCCTTTTATTCAGGAATGCCAGCAGTTTCACACAGCCGACTGTTCAAGTCTTTAGTTGCCTCCAAACAACGGAGCTCGCTCCCTTTTCCCCTGCAAGGGTCTCCCAAAACCCAGAGTTAATCTCGGTCTCTCACCACACTTGCAGCAAGAGTCCTCCAGGCCAACTGGCTCTTTTCCAACATGCACACGCTCAGAAGGCGTCCGACTCCCAGCACCACAGGATCCAAGGAAAACTCCGGCAAGTTTACAAACCAGAATCAGGAGTTCCAAATAGAAGTGGCTGACCGGCAGGGAGATGAATAGTTGTCTGTCACACCTATTCATCTATGCCCCTGCCTTTTATCCACAGCTGAGGGTGGGGCTCTGTTAGTAGCGGTAACTCGCCCGAAGACTGGCCCATAGCCTCTTGCTGTTCTCCTCTCCTCAGCCTCCGCCATGCCCGTGCATCAATCACTGGCCCCAATGTGATCCTCCTCTCCTGAATCACTTGCCTCAAGGCATGGAGGTCTCAGTCTTTCCATCTGGGGGCTGGCGGATGGCCCAGGCGCCACCTCTGTCCCTGGCTGTGACAGCTCCGTTCCTTCATCCCCATCGGAGCTTTCAGATGGCCCTGACGCTGGGGCTGACGCCCACTCCTGTGCTTCCTCCTCTGAGTCAGTTGCAGAGTCCTCAGGTGGCCGACAGGCCACAACAAAATAGCCAGGTCTTGTCTCTACAACACGCACTGCACACTCTTAAAAAGAGGTGGGGCTTTGATTGCCGATAGCCAATAGCAGAGAATATTTGTAGGTCAGGGTTGAAATGAGGAGTCCTTGGTGCTCTCTGGGCTTGGTGATTTTCTTGCCGACGCTTCATTACCCAACTAGGCAATGACAATGCTAGTGATGCTACTGATGACTTCACATGGATGGGTAATGAAATGTCTGGAAGCAAACAACGAAGCTCAGAGAGTATCAGGGATCCCTTATTCGATTGCTCGATTGCACCCACCTTTCGACATCGTTGGTTCTCTAGCCCAAGGGCCATGTCGCGACGATGGCAAATATCTCCTGCAATCGTGGCCTCTGTGAGGTTTGGTACGGAAGCTCCTCTCAATCTTCTTCCTTCCTTTTAGGTGTTGGATGGAGCCTGTGTGAAAATCTCCTGTGTTCCTGTGATAAAGCTGCAGCTGAATGCATGGCGGCAGCCCCGTTCAATGAAAGCTGGAAGTTGCCCGGCAGACCGGCTTGCCAAGAGGACAAACTGGCTTGCCGCGGGGTGGGGCGTGAGAGGCCACCGGGCAGCCCCCCGAGAGGTGCCAGAACGTCTAGCGAAGAAGAAGAAGAAAGTAGCAGTGAGGAGGCGGATCTAGCCCAGCCCCTCTTGAGACGGGGGAAAAGAGCGATACGCCATGGTAGAAGAAGATCTAGACTAGTCCCATTGCAAACAAGATAATCTCTACTTCTCTGTCCAGCTACTGGTAATGTTATTCAAGGGGCAGCCAGTAGTGTATCCTATGCAGCTGTCCAGTCTCTTCTTAAAAGCCTCCAGTGATGAAGCACCCACAACTTCTGAAGGCAAGTTGTTCCAGTGATTAATTGTTCTCAGCGTTAGGACATTTCTCTTTAGTTTTAGCAACTTTGTGGGTGCTCCATCACTGGAGGCTTTTAAGAAGAGACTGGACAGCCACTTGTCTGGAATGGTATAGGGCAGGGGTAGGCAACCTTGGCTCTTTTATGACCCGTGGACTTCAACTCCCAGAATTCCTGAGCCAGCATGGCTCAGCTTGGAAACTTCTCTTTCCCCTCAGCACGGCTGGCTCAGGAATTCTGGGAGTTGAAGTCCACGGGTCATAAAAGAGCTAAGGTTGCCTATCCCTGGTCTCCTGCTTGAGCAGGGGGTTGGACTATAAGACCTCCAAGGTCCCTTCCCACTCTGTCATTCTATCTTAGAAGACAACAGGATGTAAATGTGGGAGATCTTCTGCTTATAGGATGATCTCTAACTGTATATATCCATGGTGAGGAACCTCAACACGCCTCCTGATTATATAGCCATAATACCTATTTCATTTTTAATCTCATATGGGTGGAAGGTTGTATAAAGCTAAGGTCGGAGCCGAGATGAAAAAATTCTAAGTTGCGTTCAATACCATCACGGGATTTCTGAATCTCTGTTTCTTGAACAAGCCATGGTGATTTGATTCTCATAACTAACCCTAATAAATAGCTCTGTGCACAACACTAAACCAACAGTTTCATTTTTAATGCATGCCATTGTGCTCACAGTTAAAAAAAATGACAATAAAGGTTATCTATCTATCTACTTGATATTATGTCTTATCATACCCTGTCAATCAAAGTTCCTATTAAAAGCTTGACACTGCTTCATTCTTTGTCCTTATTTTTAGAAACAATTTAACATAATGAAACAAGTTAAGTATGCAAACAAGAGCCGAGATGATTCTTTTTCACGTTTTGCTTTAATACTGGAGGGGTGAATCCACGGAATCAAGCCCATTTTTAAAGAGAATGACAAAATAATCATGCCTGACTTTTCCTTGACTTAATTCTTGGTGTGGCCAATTATACATTTGTAGCTTTAGATGTTTGGCTTGTCTTAGAATCTTTATGACAAACTTAAATTGAGATATAATTGCTGAGAGTACAAGCAGGTCTTCTGCCTAAGCAGGGGGTTGGACTAGAAGACCTCCAAGGTCCCTTCCAACTCTGTTATTTTGTTAATTCCTATCAACACAAAAAAGAACAGATAGTACAAGAGTTTGCTTAATGTGATCATATACTCAGTGGAATTTGAGGGGGGATAGAGTAGCAGTCTGCTTCTGTGGGGCTAGTTACAATAAGTAGAAAAAGGTCTATGATCCCCATGGATCCTAATCCTATTTGAGAATTGTGTTTTAGGATGTTTCTGCACATGTTGTGCTTCTTCAAAACACTCACTGCACTTTTCATTTCTCTGAGCTGAACAGATTTACTGCTCCAAAGCAGAATTAATGCAAATCTTCGTTCAAAAACTCAACCAAATCTTTTGAAAATCACCTCAACCATAACCTTCCTAGAGCTTTACTCCAGGAAGCTTATGGTTGAGGCAATTTCCAATGGGCAGAAGCTCTCACATCATTCTGCCTCCAAGCTCCTGGGATCCATTCAGTTACTTTCCACTTGGCCTATACCAGGGGTAGGCAACCTTAGTTCTTTTATGACTCGTGGACTTCAACTCCCAGAATTCCTGAGCCAGCCATGCTGAGGGGAAAGGGAGAGGCTTCCAAGCTGAGCCATGCTGCCTCAAGAATTCTGGGAGTTGAAGTCCACGAGTCATAAAAGCGCCAAGGTTGCCTACCCCTGCCCTAGATGGTCAACTGCTGTGTCATCATCACCCAGAGATGCCACCTTTCAAATTCCCACACATTTCCACAACGACAGTGCCTTATACATTGTTAAAAATATCCCTCCCTTCCTCCCTCTTTCATTCCTTCTCTCACAAAGGAACGAAAGAAGGAGGAAGGGAGGGATATTTTTAACAA